ATAATTATTATCCAACTGTTACAGAATGGGGGCAGTACCCAAACTATAGTACAGCACATACTGAAAAGGGACACAAATGTTGACAATTACCCAGAAGTTAAGAGTTCACACTTGTTCGTAGTTCTCCGTTTAGATGTACAGCAAACTTTGTCTCGTGAAGATGGGGGATGAAGAGTACACAAACACGTAGAGTCAGGAAGGAATTACCTGCGAGCTCTGGGCGGGCAGGCTGTGAAATGCGCCAGCGTGTGTATAAGTGAGCACGGAACTCCGTTAAGGGTAATAATGGCGGGTAATGATAGCTATAGTGTACTATAACATATACTATATCACATACTACTATAATATACAATATAGTATACTATACTATAATATACAGTATAGTATGCTATAATTTACCATTCCCAAGCTCTGGAGAATCATCTTGAGGCTTCACAGAACAGCACTTCCACAAGGTCTGCTTCTACACACCCAAGGTCCATCACCTACATACTTTGAGGCGAATGGGTAGTCCATGGTGGTCCTTCTTAGTGTATTATAGTATATGAGCATATGTTCTTGTATATTAGAATACATAATCGTGAATTATAGTATATTGGGGTAATATTGGGACAAGAGCACCCCTGACCTGGGTTGCAGGTGCAGCTTGCTCTTGTTTAGAAAGCTGCCTATGGAGGCGGAAGCATTGTAGACTGGACGATCGTCTACCTTGATTCTAGAGGTTGACACGCTTTCTTTATCCTCCCAGCATATGCGCTTGCGAAAATTGTGGTTCTGGACATGGTAACCCAGGTGAACGTGGTTCGTGATCAAAATAGCTGGCATCTTGTTGCCCAATACTCCTCCCTACATGGATACAAACAGACTGTCACAACTACATCCAATGTTGTTCCTAAGGTTTCTGCATGAAGCCAAGAAAGACTTTTTGCATAAGTATTCAGAGTGTGTCGTCCTCACACCCTACCTGTAACCCAGTTACCTACAGCTTAGTCGTAGCTACCCCTTGATTAATAGGTGCCCATGAACTTACAGGTAATTAGGAATACAGGCAAACCCTTAAACCCCAAGGTACGTTAAAGCCTAAGTATGGGTTTCTGAGGATTCGGGCCCCTTCTTGACATATTTGGTCTATTTCGCGGCTCCCCATGTATGGAAACTCCAAAATTGTGGCTTCCCGGGACCCCAGTGTGGACCCCCAAATAAGGCAATCCTTATGACCCCCCAAGAAGTACCCTTATTTTTTTGGAAAGCCACCACATCTGAAACTGTGGCGAAGCGGCTCTTGTTGCAGAAGCTTTTGGTGGTGTCCGTCCGCGAGCATTGTTCCTGCCCAAGCCCCAGCTCCATCAAAGCAGTCCCCGTGGAAACCATAAGCAAACCGTGTGTCTCCGGTTTACGGCTTAGGGATTCGTAAGCTGCGTGGGCTACACTTAGTTGAAAGGATTAGAGCAAACTAGGTTTTCTGGGAAGAACTTTGGAGATAGATGGTGAGGCAAACAAAAAGGGAGGACAGAATGGGTAGTACAAGGTAAAATCATTGTTCCCAGAGTCCTGGCCAAAATTGCCTCCCGGACTGCTCTCAAGAGAGGACCCATTATGTATATATGTATGCATATATATATATACATATGTTACACGTGCAGCGCCAAAGGGCAATCCTTCACGAACCCTTGTATGCAAGCTTTGTGTATACCAGGCCTATGCAGTCAAGCGCTCCTTATTGGAGGCCTCAAACAAAGGCTGCTATCTGCCACACAAAAAGGCCCGACTGATTCAGCGCTTGCTGACATGACTTGCCTTCTTGCTGACTGGACCATGTAATTGAGAGTATGCTCCCCTTATGAAGCACTATGGCTTACAAGTATGGTATAATCACTCTTCATTTTGAACGGTGGCACTCCCATTACAAAATACCCACATGCTTTGAAGCGAACGGCTCAACAAAGGAGCGTGTGCATTTGCAAGCAGACCTGATTGATCCCCTCCCCTAAGAATGAAACCACTCCACCGCCGTGACAAAACATTTCCAATAAACAACAAGTATACGTTGGGGAGCAATATTTATTGTGAGGGACTGGCGGGCTTTTGTCGGAGAGAGGAGATTAAACAAATGCCCGTCAGGCCTATGCTTATGAGGCTCGGCGTCTACGGCCTGAAGCATTGAATAGACATCGAGGACTCTTAAGGGGAAACTTCTCACAATGTCTGTATAAATCGGGAACCCACATATAAACCCCAAAACTATTATCATCCTTACCATGGGCAGCCCCAAAAGGTACTGTACCCTTGATTTTCGGAAACCCTCATAAACACCTGGGCGCTCTGAAGATGCATAGCAAGTAGCAGAGGGTCATGTAAATCTTCATCAATGTTGAATGGGACCCTTTTAAGACAGCTTGAAACCCAAACCCCAAACTCTTAATCGCCAGCCTCTGGCACTCCGTGGAAGCTGAACAGAATGTGGTCGACATTCTTGCCCTGCCGCGTTGCCACATTACGCAATCAAGAGCACTGCAAGTACGACGCACCAAAACTGTATGTGACTAAACGGACCGTATACGCTTGTAACAGTATATAATAGGGGTCATATCAAGGGCTCTATATAGCTATCTGAGCTATAATGTAAACTCCTAGTATCTTGATAACCCCTAGAATACTCCCGTTTATACCCCCCCTTGAGGAGTTTAGATTATGGCTCATCTGGCAAATATTATCCAACTGTTAATGACTGAGGGCAGGATCCAACTTATGGACTTTAATGCGACTGAACCTAAGCCCTAAAGCCAAAGCGCCCTGAATCAGATGGATAATATTCGGTAAATATGGGCTATATAAGGTATATATTGGGATTATGGAAAGAAAGCGGAAACTACTATTTAGGGTTTGCAAGATGGCAACATGAGTTTAGGCTTTAGGGTTCAGGGTTTACGGTTTAGGGTCTACGCCTACTACGCCCCACAGAAGGTGCGGAAACTGCTACTATAGACTCCTGGATAAAGATCAACACCATGATGAGGTCTAGTTGAGGCACACTATACCATAATTATACAACGAATGTAGCACCATAATACTGTCACTTACTTTGGCTCCTACATGATATCATTATATCACCATGCGAATCCTAATCGCTGATTCCCCTGGCGGAAAAACATTCTGCAAGCTTTCAAATCTTCATATAACCCCTATGAAATCCCCATATAAAGCCTATCACCCTATTATAATTATAACTCTAAACCCTAAAGCCAAACCCCTAAAACCCTAAACCAGGTTTTGTTAGATGGCTTATCGTCTTTACCTGAAGAGGTCAAAATATACCTCTGTGCTGGTTTTTCTGGCTTGGTTTTTCGGAACCCTAGGTCGGTGCCTAGGAACTACTGAAACCCCATAACCTTGCTCCTTCTCTGGATCTGATGTATTTATAAGCGGCCCCAATCCCTAAATTCATCAGCAAGCTTCATCTGAAGATTATACATCCTACTTGGGCGCCCTTTTCATAAGGAGGAATGTTTGGACCCCTTCTGGGGAGTCTATATTGCACCCTTTTTTTCCTGGAAACCAAAGAACTTAACAAAGAATGTAAAGCCGCTTCAGGACCCCTTGTGGGATGCTGTGGCTCTCCAGCAAGGCATAGTCAGGACTGTCGGAAGCTGCTCTCCCTCTGGACAAATTACTGGGCTCATTCCTGCGCGCGTCGCCTGTAGAAACTGTGAACTCTCAACCCCTAAACCTTAAATCCTAAATGGTGGCCAGCCTCGCTTGTTTCAAGATTACTATCTAACCCCTATATAGCGTTATATAGCCACTGAAAATCCTTTGTACGAAACGCCTGCGTCCAGCCAGTCTGCCGCTACACTACGTAAGCGACCCGAAATAGGGCAAACTCGGGACCCCCACACAGGACAGACCGCCCTAAGAAGTGTGTTTAGAAGGTACTAGCAGGCAACCTAGCGCCCCGGACAAAATGGCCCGTTGAACCCTCTCTCCGATGGTCTCCGCAATGCGTTGCTTCATGGCCGCCACATACAAGCGGTGACCTGAAGTTTTCAGCAATCGTGCGCGTCCCAATAGTTACATGGTAGATGTTTGCGCCCAAACATCTTACGCATCTGCGAAGCCATTTGCGATCTCCTGTTCGGTGCTGGGACCCTAATGGTGAAAAGTCTCATCTTCACTTATCTTAATTAATGGTGCTTCAGAGGAAGTTCGTAAGCACGATTATAGATTTTTACAGTTGGAGTAGCAGAGGCATCCACTCCGCACTTTCCCTCATGGACCAGTAAATCAAATATCAAGCGTGTTTGTTTCATGCGGTTGTTAAAATGATCTCTGCCGTGGGCTTGTCAGTGATCATTAGAAACGACATCTGGATAGTTGCCTTTGGATGCATGGAGATTCACGCTGGATGCATGATGGGAAATTAGAGAAAATTTGCCTTTGCTATGCTCCTGTTGGAATTTATAGCCTCCAGGTCCAAACCTATGAGGCCTTTGGCAGCTGGCGGGTCGTCCCTTCTACGGTTTTCAACTTACTGGTGCATAGTGGTGAATAAGTCAAAATATGGTCCCTTTACAATCCCTATATAAGATATTTCTTTATTCCCTATTCACTCACGGCAGGTAAAGGTCCTTAACTTGACTATGCTGCTGTCAACGGCCTCGCGCTGAGTTTGTGCTCGTCATGCCTGCAAGAGTCTGGAAGCTGAGCTTTCTACATCTGGGAGCTTCCCAAAAATTAGGGGAACCTTATTCGGGTCCACAAATTAAGGATTATACTATGTTGGAGCCCCCTTGTTTTGGGAAACGACCATCTGTACAAGAAGACTAGGTCCTGTCTGGGAAGTGGTCTTGGTCCCTGCCACATAGAGCTTTCAGGAGGGATCTGGTGATGTCTCAGTTTCTTGTTCTGGTGGGTCCAAGGCTTCTCAAACTGTACATGGCGGAGGGTGTCCTTAGTTCAGACCCCCAGCCAAAGAGTAGACGTCCAAAAATGGGGCAACGTGCTCAAACCCTGCGGATGTTGCTGACCTGCTCCCAGCTGTACACGACATACTCTGTGCCAGTTGGGCGGTCAAGCAGCTTGACGGAGTCGTAGCCCTGGCTCTGGAGTCCTCTATAGTACTCATCCGAACTACGATGCACGATCTTCATGTTCCCCAGGCGAACCGTCGCTTGCAGCATGGCCCCATGGCTGTGTGCCTTCCTGCGGGCCTCTTCTGGGCTCTCTGCGAAGTAGATCCCACCACCCGCCAGACCGCTGCTTCCTCTTTTCATGCGCTGTGTCCTGACGATCTCGTCTGCATACTCCGGGCTCGTTTCGTGGTAGAGCTGCATTGTGAAGGAGCTCGTACGCCGAGGTGGGCTGAGTGATCTCTGACGGCTCAGCGCCTCCATGATCAGGGGATCCGCGCCCAGGTGGCCTGGGAAGGGCATGCCCATGGGATCAAGATTCAAGGTGCCAACCGGGATGCCCCCTACTCGTACGGTGGCCATTCTGGGGGGCCCGGATCGGTCTGCACGAAGATCCCGCACGACCACCGGCAGGCTCATGGGCATTCCCATCCCCATCGCGAAAGGGTGTCCGAACATCGCTGGGAGCTATGAGTTGCTGAAGCGTTCAGCTTTCTAGGTTTGGGCTCAAGGTTGCTGCGGCATGCCCCTTCAATGTTCACACATCCGCAAGCATGCAACTGCAACGTCCTCGTGCTGTATTTGCACTCATCATGCCTGCAAGAGTCTGGAAGCTGTGCTCTCTGCACCTACAAGAAAAGCTCACCTCGCGCACGTATTTGTCAAAGAGCACGCTGTATCGCTTGTATCCAAGCTGAGACCGTGGCCATAGAAGGGAGGCAGGACGGAAAGAAACGGAGTACAGTACCTGCAACCAATTACAGGGTCGAGCTAGTAGGGTGTTCAGATTCGGAGGCACATATGGGGCCCATGACAGGTTGGTCGCTAAAAGGCACAGTTTCCACCATGCTAACTCAAGACCGTAGACTGCAGAAACAGAACCAACGAAAGCAGTCTCTGAACCACTACCTGGGCCCAAAAAGTAGGTAAAATAGGAGTTCAAAATCCTTAAAAACAACACCAAAAGGCCTTGTTTTACATACTGTTGGGGGTTTACTTCAGGCTACCCTAAGAATCTTTGGGGCTCAGGGCTTGATTCTGACGTTTATCGGGAGACATCATCAAAAGGAATGAGGCCAAATCATACAATAGTGCTCACTTTCCATTCCTGCATTCCCTACTAACATTCAGCAAGGAAACCCTAAACCCTGTAATCATAGCCGTCTTAACCCTCATGCAATGCAGTTTACATGTCATGTCCATTTGATTCTCCATTCTTCCCTACTAGCCATTGGCAGGTTTGTAGGAGCCAGCCAAACCTCGAATTTGACGTTTCCATGGGAATGCTCGCCACTACGCCTGAAAGAGCCCCTCGCCTGGCCAAGTAGGCAGCTTTGTTTTTGTTTGTAATGCTGAATTCCAAACTCGTGCCCTTCAATGTACAGGACTGTCTGAGATGAGAGGACCCTGGTATTCATACGTGGTCGATGGCACTGGAAGAGAAATCCCATGACAGAAGCTGTTACAGTCCGCTTGAAAACAAACAAATCATATCTCCCCTATGGTTTTGGAGATTCCTGGGCTCTTTAGCTCCCCTTATTATATTGATATAGACTATACCTAGCTCCTTAGCTCCCCCAAAAGGTATGGGTAGATATGTCTTCAACTCATTCATTGCCGCGTAATGAGCCTTGATTCCCCCTACAATCTGATTCCTGGGCTCAGGCAGACAGGTCTTAGGGCTTGGTTATTGCTTGCAGGTTTGTTTTGGCTGTAGAAGGACAACGAAGGTGCAAACAAGATATAGTATTGGTATTGAATGCATGCGCAATGCTGAGGGGATGGAATATCTCCGCTCCCACTAACAACCTGTAAGTTCTAGGCTTACATCAATCAAAAGCACCCCCCCCTCCCACAGATGCGCAAAATTTAACCTTCAACTTGCATCGAAGCCACCTCATACTGGTCACTCCTTGAGCCAAGTCTGAGAAGCTGAAACCCTTCAAAGCTCTATGGGTCACAGCTCGGCGGCAGTCCGGTATGCACCCGCAAGGCAGCTCCCCGTTGTTCCGGAGGCATAGTGCGGGAACATCGGAATAAGAACTTGGCAGGGGCTCGCCACTGGTTCCAAGATCATCTTAGAGGCCCGTAGATTGAGATGCCGCTTTGCTTGTTCCAACTTTGGGGCACAGTAGCCTTCTGTGCCAGAGTCCAAGCCTAGTATCCCCCTTAATAAGCCCCATAATTCTACCCTATACATTCCACTATATAAACACCCTTCAAGGAGTTTATAGTTTATACTCTAGCTCATATACACAGGGAGCTTAATCATGCAGGTCATGCGGGGTCAATGGAGATTACGATGATTTAGGGATTCGGGGCTTGGGGGCTGAGGGTATTTCGCTTAAGGCGGGTGTCTCGCTTATGTAGGTGCTTAAGGGTGCTGATTTCTGTTCCGTAAATAATTACGAGCGACACCAGAACCGTCCACTGAATCATCGTGCGAGAAAATGCACAAATGTCCTTGCAGTCTCTTAGGTACCTTCGGACGTGGTTCAAAATGTAATGCGGTCATACCTACCTAAAATCTGAACTCGTCAGCCCTGCATGTAACTGTGCCTAAAGACTTCGACCATAATGTGTCTGAAATGTGTGTGGACATGAGAGGCTGCCAAGGGAAAGGAGTCACATAGGACTCCTTTCAGGGGCTGCCCTGGAAAACTCATAAAAGAGTAACATGACTGTAGCCACGACACGTGCGTTTTGATTAGGCTCAGGGCTCAGGGTCTTCAGGGAGCCAGGTCCCATGGCAATCTCCAAGCCTCTAAGCCTCGTGATAATAATAGCTCTACTAGGTAGGTAATGCTGACCATAATGGGTATATGTAGTAAATAAAAGGGTTTCCCCAATAGAGCAACTTAATTTAAGTTCCTTAACAGCAACCCAGTCGTTCAAATACCTTGATTTCTTGGATAGACAAACGCTTGGTAGGAAACCCAAATCTACAGCCAAAGGGAAGCCTTCCAGATCCCTGAAAGCAGCAGTCCCTAAGGGTCCAAGGACCCAAATAATGGGGCTTTAGGACCCTAATATTTGGGTCCTTGGACCCTTAGGGGGTGTTTTGAGTGGTGGTATCACTTCCTCGCAGAATCAAGCTTTTGCACCCGCACAGCAGACGCTTCTTTCATGAAGTCGGGGATGGGGTCAGTGAGTCACCGTGAGGCAATCGGGCTAAGCACTCTGCCTAGGTACTAAGTTCTACTTTAACTGAAGGAAATCTATTACTATTAAAGTTGCTTTTGCTACTGCTTCGCCTCCACCTCGGCTCAACTTCATGATTCGGACTGTGAGCGCACCACTTCTCCCCTTGCAGCCGCTCACAATCATGGCAGTTCTCCAGCAGGAGACCCCTCGCAAGACCCACGAATATTCTAACAGGCTTTAGGGCTTGGGTTTAGGAAGTTTTGAGGTCTCATGGTGTATAGGTACTGTAGGGTGCACGAGTTCTCTAAGGTGGAGCATCTGTAATTCAGACTTGTCAGAGGATATCCGCCTAAACCTAGCCATCTTGTCGTGCTACTAGAGGGGCCTAAATAATTACCAATAACTGGGTTGCTGTTAAGGAGTTACTATATTGGGGAAACCCTATTATTTACTATATATACCCATTATGGTAACTTAATTTAAGTTCCTTAACAGCAACCCAGATAATCATGTAGATATCTGTTCGAGGTAGCCTATACTGTAACTATAAAGGGGATCTAGGCCAACAATGTTGGGGAAGTATGTAGGCTTCTACATTACCTGCCTTCATCCCGTCAACGCTAATCCTAAAAGCGTTCTGGGGCGAATACTCTTTATCTGTAGAACCCGCACGCAGGTGAGAGTTTGACAGAATTCCTCCTTTAGAATTTCAATAGCGACCTCCATGTTTCTTCCACAGCCCTTGCCTCCCCTTGGTCCGTAGAGGTTTAGAGTTTTGGGGTTTAGCCCTCTTCGAGAACTCACAAATCCCTCTTGGAGGGCCCCTCTGATCACTTTGCTGGCAGCCATGCCCACCAGAGCTAACATCGCTCAAAGATCTTGTAGAGCTGGTCCTGGGCTCTCGAGTTTGGGCCTTCACATAAGGATTCTGTGTGGGCTTTGGGATATAAAGCGATTAGGCGGGTGCAATTGTAGCCTTTAGAGCCGGGTCAGAATAGGGGATTGTATAGGGGAGTATTGTAGGGGTTATTAAGTTTGACTATAGCTCATATATTTGCGAAGAAAAACACCATGCCAATGCCCTGCCTGAGAATGGATCCCTCAGTCCCTATTCGGTTGGCATACTAATCCCTGTATTGATTCCCCATTCCCAGAGAACTGAATGGGCAGGGCGACCTAAACGATGAAAGCATTTCCCTGCAGTCCTTCTTGAAGCCAACAACACCCTTGGGAAGAAATTGCAATTTCCCACATTGGGGGATTCTCACCTAGACCGCCAAAATACTATAATCCGTATTATAGGGGCCCCCAAAAAGTTACCTCTAATCTTGGGAACCCCGTACGTCCTGAGCTCAATTTATCTGTTAAGGGCTTAGAGGACAGCACCATGCAAACGGAAGGCTCGCAAGATTACCTATGTTTTTGAAGCCTACGTGAGGTAACCTTCACCATAATTATACAAAGAACTGAGGACTATAATTTTGGAAATTATTTAGGCCCCTGCATTACGGAAGTCTCTGGATCATCAAAAGCTTAGGATCCAAGGAGACAAGCTCGAGGAACGTGCCATCTGTTGAAAGCTGGCGTGGCCATTGGCATGCGCCATCGCGCCGAAGGGCCTCTGGTCCAAACCTTAAACCACAAACCCTAGAAGCTGAATCCTAGCAAACCCTACCTTTCCCACTATCTCCACAATGTCCGTACAATCTCCTCCTGATGCAGCACCCTGCAGACATGTTCTTACCATTTGCCCTTTTCTCTTTCCGCTCCTGTTTTGTTGACGGCCTGCTGCTGCTACTGCTACTGCTACTGCTACTGCTACTGCTACTGCTGCTGCTGCTGCTGCTACTGCTGCTACTACTACTACTACTACTACTGCTGCTATGGAGACGACTACGAAGATTACAACGCATAATCATACGTTAGCTAGTCATATCACAAAGAGGTTCAGTGGCCATATCTATGGACGCCTACGCCCCGACCCCAAACTCCCAAAAGCCTTCACCCTAAACCCTAACCACCCAAACAGAAGAGAAGTTTCCATTGCCTCTTCCATTCCTCTGTAATAATAAAACCCTATATAGCCCCCTACAGCCCTCGAATCCTAAATCGAACCCTAAACCCCTAAACCCCTAAACTCTAAACCCCCAGACCCTAAACCCTAAGCCCCTGGCTTCATGGAGCAGGCGCAGGCTTTGGAGATCCTCTGCCAGGCGCGGTTTCTTCGCGGCCGAAGCCGCCACGACGTCCTCAAACTCCCCGGACTCCACCTAAGACCATGTGCTTAGGGTTTAGCGGTTTAGAGTTTCGGGGTT